TGTATATCCCCTAACGGGGTGTCTTCAAAGGCTTCAGTCCACATTTGATGAAATTTGGAGCCAAACTTTGAGGTTGTAGGTACATAAGTGAAATGGATTAGCATGTCTTGTTTCGGATCTATGTTTTTTTTTGTTTTTTCTCTCATGCTCCATGCCGGGTTTCGTACCTTTTTACGGCATTCGTTGTATTTCGTTTGTGGTTCAAAAGTCATTTTTCAATGATTCTTGATTTTCTGATTGTGATATTTTTCAGAAGTTCCTGCTTGCTGATTCTTGATTTTCTGATTACGGTATTTTTCAGAAGTTCCTGCATCCTGATTCTTGATTTTTGTGATTGCAGCATTTTTCCTTTTTCTGACTGCATCAGTTTTTCAAAGTTTCTGATTCTTGATTTTTTCTAATTGCAGCTTTTTGGGATGTATATATAGCTGTGATTTTCTTCATTTCAGTCATTACATATTTTCGATGTGAATTATTTTGAATTATTATGTAGTGGTATATATGGGCTTCCGTATTCTCATTTTTCTCAGATGATGCAATATATCAAAATTGTAATAGAAAAATAGAATAATTCTCTCCTTTTCAGTTTTCTCGATTTTTCTGACTGAATTATTTTTCTTTTTCTAATTGCATCATTTTTCAATGATTCTTGACTTTCTGATTGCGGTATTTTACAGAAGTTCCTTCATCAGTATGTTCCTCGACCGTTCTGTTGAAATGATCTGTATCGTTGAGGGTGAGGGTTTTGCGGGTACTGTTGTCTTTGGATAACAGGCGGGGGTGGTGGTACATACCTGTTAATATTTGTGTATGAATTAAAATTTGATACGGTGCCGGTTTGAAAACGTCTTTTTTCTACTCGTGGTGGTGGCAGGCGATTCGGTTCGTTGCCGAATCGGTTCCTGTCGTTCATTGTATCGACGCTCTTCTTGTGGTATTTGGTTAAAATAGTAATTAGTGGTCCGTCGTTGCGGTAACGGTTTTGATGGGTGTTCCGGTGGTTTTCCATAGTTCGATGTTGTAACTTTAGGTGCGGCATCTAAAGGGGTGTTACTTGCCTTTAGCTGTCGTGCATGCTCCGGTAGCATCCAGTTTGGCGGCTTAATCGTAATAGACGATTTCGTAATGTTGGGCGCTATCAGTGCTTGTCGTTTCTTCGTTTGTTGTGGTTGAACATTTTCTTGCTGTTTTGGTAGCGATAAGATTGGTAAGGGTGGAAACTGAAAATCTGGTTCTCCATCGTTGTTGTGCTTACGTTTCTTCATCGGACTGCAAGCTACAATTTCTGGTACTGCAAACTGAATTCGACGTTGTACTCGATCTTTACGAAGCGATGTCATTGTTTTATATTGATGGTCTGTGATATCGAACGTGAATTGTCTTGTCTTGTCTGTAATTTCATATAGTTCTATTTTATCTAAGAATTTCAGAGAATTCTCAAGCGTATAATGTGATGTTTCTCGATCAAAAATGGGTCTCAAGATCTGGTCCAGAAAAGATGACATTTTGGCTGTAGGGGATTTCATTTTCACGTTTTCAAACCGGCACCGCATTTTAATTCATACACAAATATTAACAGGTATGTACCACCACCCCCGTCTGTTATCCAAAGACAACAGTACCCGCAAAACCCTCACCCTCAACGATACAGACCATTTCAACATAATAAAGGTAAGTTCGTGAGACGCACATATGCCGAGGTGCTAGCTCGTCAGGAGCAACCACCGCTACTCATGCACATCAATCCATATGTAGTCCGGGAAGTGAGATAAATCCCAATCCCTTATTCCACGTCTTACAACGCTTCGGGGAAACATGGCGCAGTCCGGGAAGTGAGATAAATCCCAATCCCTTACTCCACGTTTTACAACGTTTCAGGAGACTCTATAATGACTACATACCCAAAGTTAACTTTTTTGAAAAACGTATCCCAATCCCTTACTCCACGTCTTACAGTACAGCATGGTCTGGGAAGTGAGCGGAACGTCTTCTTCAAGCACATCGAAAATATGTAATGACTGAAATGAAGAAAATCACAGCTGTATATACATCCCAAAAAGCTGCAATTAGAAAAAATCAAGAATCAGAAACTTTCAAAAACTGATGCAGTCAGAAAAAGGAAAAATGCTGCAATCACAAAAATCAAGAATCAGGAAGCAGGAACTTCTGAAAAATACCGCAATCAGAAAATCAAGAATCATTGAAAAATGATGCAATCAGGCCTGCTTACCTCCAAGTCAGCGAAAGAAATATTTTCTTGTTCGGGTAGGCTAATGAGAAGGGAGAGTTGAAGGCGAAGAATCATAGCCAAGAGAAAAAGCGGACGGGCTATTATGTGGGATGAAAAGTTAATCGACCATGGAGAAGAATGACCGGCGAAATCGGTTGGCGGATGGATCAGAGTGCGAACGGAGGCAGATGAAGTAGAGAGTATAGGAACGGACGATCTCTCGGAAAAGGGTAGATAGAGAGAGCATACTAATGCTCTATGATAGAACGGAGAAGAATATGACATTTTTGAGTTCTGTGAAACTCAAAATGGTTGGATAAGAATTGAATGTAGGACCAGGCGAATTTGTCTAATTTCGAATACCTTTGAACAGTATGGCTCCAAAAGCAGTCTCGATATATCGATGTTCAGTCATTATAGATGGCGCTACTTCTGCAAATATATCGAGACTGTTTTGGTTAAGATAAGTGAGCGGCACATGCCAGCCTCAAATTCAAGGGTCACTTGGCCTAAACGTTTTGGACCAGTCAGTTAGTTACTTAAAGATACCAATAACCATGTGGGTGTATGGTGAAGATCACAAAAACAGGGTTATGATTTAAAACAAAATTTTGAGTCTACCAAGACAGTACAAAAATGTTCAATTCGGTGGTTGATCAAAGTTCGTCTGCCGTAGGTCAGATAACACTAAAAGACAAGGTCAGATTACCACCTCCGAGCTACTGAAGCTCGTTTTCAGTGACATTCGTCATAATCTTGAAGTATCATAGACCAGCTTTCTCGTCAGTTTGATAATTGTCGCATTCCT